CGCCTTGCGTCAATTTGACAGTTGACAGTTTATTTATCTCAGTCGACGCTGATTGGTTCGCGTTTAGCAGATGCGAAAAGGGGATGATTGAATAAAACGCATGGTTCCGTGCAGGCTCACCTTTCTTCCAGTGAGCCTGTTCGCAGGCTAAAGGTGATCTACAGTCCGATCTGCGCATGTGCACAAATGAGCCCACTTTTTATGATACGTCAAACAGTTTAACTATGTTTTGAGTTCTTAAAAAGCCTGATTGTTGTTTCTTGATCATTTATTATACTCTAGAAGCTTGAAAATATAAATAGTTGTCGAATAAAGCTCAATATTTTGGACACCAAAATGCAAACAAAGGCTTTGTTTACATACGGACTGTAGATCTGACCTTTAAACATTCATAAACTGTTGGAAATAAATCTTTTAATATTTGACTAGTTTCATGCAACTTTGTTTTTTGCTGTTTGTGATGCGTTATACATGCAAGCTCAATAAATGTTTTCTAATTTGCATAATTCGATATACTGTAGTCTATATTATCAAATGAATATCATTTTTTTGATAACGATATTTATTATATACAGTAGAGAGTGAGAAACTGAAAATACACAGTGAGATACCCATCGTCCCCTTGGCAAGTAAAATTGTCTGGCGTTAGGCAGAGTAAAATAAGAAAGTGGGTTTCATGAGGACGCAATACAACTTATTGGGTTAGTGAAGCTATATAGTCTAACTTTTGTAAACAAGCTTTTGTTGGCAGGGATGCGACTATCTAGAAATACAAAGCCAAATTGAACGTTTTGAGCAAAGGCCCTTTATCGGGAAGTTTAATAGGGCCTGTTTATATATGGAAGCCAGGCTGGCTCGCTTAGCGAGGCAGCCCATTAAGCGGGATGAATTTCTCTGGTGTTTATATGAGAAAATTTCATCCCTCTTGCCGGGACAATTTTGTTGTTTTGACAGTTGTTAAAAATAGCTTGTGCCAGTATCTTTGAACTTTCATCCGGGCAACCAGGCTACCCCGCCTGTGAGTGTTTATATGGAAAAATTTCCATCTCGGTAAGCAAGATCTCACCTAGTCAGGAGAGATCGAGATTGGCAACCGGGCCAGTCTGCTTGTCCACATAAATGCACAATAATTTTTACTATAAAAATAACTACACATGCAGCGAGATCTCGCTTACCGGGCTGTCTCGCTTGGAGGGCCAGCGCAGCTTCAATATAAACCGGCCCTTAGCTGGTAGCCAAAACCCACAACTGGACTACAAATAAATTTTGTACGGCCACAAGACACTGGTTGTCAAATCTGTATTCAGAACAATTTGAGAATGAGCGATAATCTTTTTGTTGATAGCCCCTATTACAGTTTATCTTGTTAGCATTTAATAGTATTAAGACATGATATGTCAACTCGTCAATTTGACATTTTCCGGGTTAGAAAATAGATACAGTAGTCAGTACCTTTTCATAGCCCCATTCGACCCAACCACTTTTCCCCGAGAAACAATTGATGAGCAACAGGCCATCGACCAATTTCGGGTATTTCAGGCCATATCGACAAAGAATGCTTGCTCCAACGCCAATGCCCAGTCCCACAAATGATTTCAATTTAAAATGCGCCACAACATCGCTGACAGCCTCAGCCAAGTCGTCCATACTCGGATACTGAAAAGTCTCAGGAAACTGAGCAGCCTGGTCTTGTTGACCGGGCGCATCGATATGATAGATTGTGAAATACTGCAATATGGGTGCCATTTCAGTGCAATTAAGAAAACTTTGAAAGGCCGAAATGTGGTTCTGTCCGATATCATGAAATGTTATTATGGCCGGTTTGCCTTCCGTACCATGTAAAGTGATGTGTAGTTTCCCATGGTTTGTGTCGATTTCCTCCTTGCGAATTAACGACTTCTCTTCGGGGGCATAAAAATTCCGCCCGTCTTTCTCGTCAAGGAGTTTAATATTCTGCAACTGTAGTTCCTCCATCGATTTTGTCTCCGCTTGTTTCGCGACTTCGTCAATGTCAACTTGAACAAAGCTTGATGCGGTTGGCTGACCGCTCGGTCGATAAATTTCCGCTTTCGTCGACATAATAAACACCTTTCACAAGTTAATATTTAAATTTCACAGGAACAGTCGGAACACTTGAACAATAACTAGCCTGTGGTTAATATGTATATATTGCTTCATGCGTGTGTCCCGCGTGGATGTCTCGTAAAGGATAAATAAAAATAATTGACCATGTGTAAATGCATTGAAAAAATAAAATAACTCAAAATCTTATAGGCTGTTATAAAATACTCGAAAAACCTAACCAGGATCAAGGCTCCGTGATCAAGGCAAACTTGATCGTGCGTTCGCGAATCACAAGCAGAATATATTAAAGATGATGTCAATGATGTCCACTCCTGTGCACATGCGCCAACTTTGTTTACGTTTTGAACTGCTATATTTGTAAAATATGATATAGTAACTGAATATCTAACACTTTTCCGGTTCGCTTTACTTGTAAATGAATATAAACTATACGTTTCAATTCAAAAAAGTTCGAAATTAGATGCAAAATTTGGGCAATGTTTATATCTGGGGGGGGGGGGCTTTGTTATGAGCAGAACTGATGCGCAGAACGGCCGGAGTGGACATCATCTTTAATAATTGTATTTTAAAAGTCAACAAATAGCTGAAAACACCTGCTTGAAACTGCAATTTGGGAAAAAAATATGGCTGAGAAATAGAATTAGAAAAATGTGGGTTGGGAAATTAGATCTAGACCCCCTCTCCAACCCCCAACCCCCACACCCCCCCTGGCAAAAGTTTGCCTTCCCCCCACCCCCGATAAAATGTATTGTATAAAAAAGGGAATCCTTGATTATATAGCTTCGGTGTGAAACTTAAAATCACTTAATAGTTTTGTTTATATGTAAATTTATTACTGCAAAGCTTTCGATCCGTAAGCCCGGATCTTCATCAGTGCTAATAATATGCACTGATGAAGATCCGGGCTTACGAATCCAAAGTTTTGCAGTAATAAATTTACGTGGTGTTTCCAGAAACAAAACTATTATATTTTATCACCATGCAAACATACAAAGAACTTACTAAAATCACTTGTTCGCTTACTTGCGGCACACAGCTTGAAACACATCCTTTTCTAACCCTAATTATTTCAATATGTATTAAATGAGGGTTAGATGAAGTTTAAACCAATCTGGTTTTTTTATAAGTGAATTTTTAATGCGGGCTCGGCAGTGGCACCGTCGCCAGAGGGAAGGGGGGTGGGAGACCCGTCGGAAAATTGAGACCAATCGGAAAATTGTCAATAGAGAGTTTGAGCAAGACAACAAAGCACGAAGACGAAGGCGTATTTGCCATCTGCACATTATCTTGCGCATACTGAGTTGGACGTCACTGGCGGTTGCTCAACGTGTCTTCGTCCCATGTGTCGCTGTTTATGCATACTGACCCTAATTCTTGACCTGACCCAGGAAAAAGCAGCGAGAATGAAACTATATCCCGTCTTTGTCCTTCTGCCTTCGTTCGGAACGAAGTTCACAGCGAATTTTTCGTTGTGAACGAAGGCAGAAGAACGAAGACGAGATATGGATTCATGTCTCGCTGTTTTGTCCTGATCAGGGCAAGGATTTGGGTCAGCATTCATAAACAGCTAGACATAAATTTCTAATCTGTCTTCACCCCTGACCCTAAACTCAGAATGCGTAAGATAATGTGCAAGACAGGCAACCACGGTCCACGTCGTCGTCGTCCGACTTCGTTCTCTTGCTCAAACTCTCTAATGTTGTCGGAATCTTCGTGGTGATCGGAAAAAGTGATACGGAAATCGGGAAAAGTGCTACGAAAGCAATTGTAATGTAATTGACTTATTCAGTGTCCAGAATTTTTTTTTACCGGGGAGCTAGAGGTAAAAGGTGGGGGAGATTTAAAATGTTGTGTGGTCCGCAAATTTTTTCTTACGCGAACTTTGCGTCTCGAGTCACTGGCGGCTTGGCCCCACCTGGGTTTTTGCCGGGCCCCCTCTGACCGAAAATCCTGGCTACGCCTCTGTTTTAAACCTGTATAACGAGTTAGCGTTTCTGATGTCTGGTTCCAGGTTCTTAAAGTCTATAGATGCTTGGTAGCTTTGTCTTTATTGCTTTCCCTTGTTTGTGTTCGTCGTTGGGAGGTGGAGGTCGTTTGTTCTTCTTGTGTACTAGCTGTGAATAGAGAGGTTAAGATACCCCGGTTCCGGTTTACGGGTACGAGTTTCGCCATTTTGTTTACCAATTTTTGCTGATGTCAGCAATTTTACCCGTAATTTCTACCCGTTTCCCCGCGGTAAACCATGGTCTACACGTAAACGGCAAACGGGTACGGGTGTTTGCTGTTTACTATTTTTGGGTCGTTTAAATAGTACAAATTTTCAACTCTTACCCTGAATAAATAATGCACACATACTGGTCAAAGTGTTCAACAATTTATAGCGAACCTCAACTGCGAAAGTTGCCATTCTCTGATCGGTCTTCTCAAGCCGGAGTATCTCGGATTTCTTAAGTTACAACTTATTCCCCGATTTACGGGTACGAGTACGTGTGTATCACCTGTACCCGTAAACTGGAACCGAGGTATCTTAACCTCTCTAATGTCTTCGTTCTTCGCGGTTGATTCAAATCTAAAGTCAATTAAATCATTTAAACATCAAAATAAATATACATCTATGCATGGTTATGTCTTCTAGTTTTCAGTGTTGTCCATTTTAGTCGCTTCCGTATCAGTATAAGTAGAAATTAAAAAGTCGAGCCGTGTCAATTCATGTAAAGTCAGTTTTATTATTATTATTATTACTACTATTCATGAATATTTATACTTGCAGGATAAAACTCTTCAGTAAAAAATTACTGCTATTACTTGCATGTGTTCCAACAACAAACACCCTTGAATTGATAGAAGTAGAACTGAAAAATATGGCCCGGTTGAAATTTTTTGGCAGGTGAAATAAATTTTAGCCTGCCATTTTTGTTCATTGAACTGTCAAAATGGCGATGTCTCATGCTCTATAATTGAGTCATATTGTAAAAACCAATGTTTTCATGATATGCATTTTTATTATTTTTAAACTTGTCTATTTTACTATACAGTAAACTTGTATTTATACATTTCAAATATAAACGTATTTAGTCAACTAAACGATCTAGTATATATGAGTTGTGGTAAGCAAATGAAATTAAATTTATTTATAAAATTTCACCTGCCATTTTCTTACTTGGCAATTCAAATTTGTTTTTTTAAGCCATTTCCTGCCTTTTCACCTGCTTTTGGCCATTGGCCCGAGCGGCCGGCTAACTATAATAGTATAATTCTCATTCTAGATCTATATGTCCCACTATGTAGTCTATTCGAACATGATCACATCCACGAATAATTATTTCTTTCTTTATATTTTTGGGAAGCATTTTTTATCATACATATGTTTCTTATCGATCGATTAATACTCGCAACTAAACAATGATTAGTACGCTCCATATCTGAATCGATCTATCATGTCATCAGTCCAAGTCACGAAGAACTCCCATGATATAGATAATACTAATAAGGCGGGTCTCAACTACTGTCAGTAACAAGTGTAAAATAATCAAAATTAATAAACTTTGCATAAATTCTTCGCAAAAATTAAAACAAGGTCATCAAGTTTAGATTAGTGTCAGATTAAGATTAGATTAGGGTTAGATTAAGATTATGTAGGGTTAGAGGTTAGAGTTGGGGTTAGATTAGGGTTAGGTCATCTATCCCAACAAGTTATTGCATTACATTGGTTTACAATTACAACAGATTATTGGCTACAACATACGTTCGCGGCTGCGCTATGAAACGGTTTATGGCATATAAAGAATATAAAGACAGCTGAAATACTGA